ATTTCTCTCCAGGATGGTGCCACACCAAACAGGAACAGACCAGATGAAGCTACTATGATGAGAAAAAGCAGAGAGAACATAGCATTAGAGATTAAACAAAGACATTCTGCAGAGTGGGAGAATAGAGATAGAATGAAGCAGAATGATGAAAAAGTCTAAGCCTATAGCACCATAACTATTGAGATAGCTCAGGATAACCTGAGCCCCTCTAACTATAAGCTTTATCAAAAAAAAAGAAAAGTTTACCCTTAAAAGTAGACAGAGTGTCTACATCATGGGCTAAAACTGGTAGGTGGTTCCACAAGAGAGGAGCCTGATAACTAAAATATCTTCATCCCATTCTACTTTTAGAAATTCTAGGAACCAGATGAAAGAAGGGAATTTTAGAAACCTCTTTGATATGGGTAATAACATCTGGAAGAGATTGGGAAATACATCAACTACTGTAAGTACCAAAGTGATAGTTCACATAAAGTCGCATACTGTAGTGTGTGTGGGTGTGTACCTGTCAAGCCCTCAAAATGAGGACCAATTTTCCAATTTCACCATCAAATTGAGGACCAGTTGTTGTAAAGTGAGGACATTTTGCCGGTCCTCACTAATATTTTGCCAATTAGGTTTAGGGCTAAGAGGTCAATTGGTTAGGGTTAGGGTGAGGTATGCATTGGTAATGGTTAAAGTTAGGGTAAGGGCATAGAAAGGGTTGAAAATGACTGAAAATCAATGGAAGTCAAGGAGAGTCAACACATGGTCCTCACTACGATGGCAGAACGAGTGTTGTTTGTGTGTGGGTGTGTGTTGCAAGGGGGAGGGGGGGGTCGTCAGCTCTATAGAGCTTTAAACCTAAAATGTAATTAATTCAAGACTAATGGATGGAGAACATAATGCAATGAGGTTACATGGTAGAGCCGCTAAATTCTAGTTTTATATGACCAAGTACACTGCAAAGCATCAGAGGGCACTAGAAGGCCATTGCCATAGGACTCTAGGGTAGGTAAGATGGTTTCCTAAGAGCCTCTCAATCTAATATTCTAATGTATGACTCTTGGTTTGACATTTTTGGGAAAAACGAACATCCTTTACTACAATGCAGGAAATAATAAGCTTTGATACAGACTGGATTACAGCAAGTGTTTGTTTTCCGTGGTATCGGGCTCAAATCCTTGGTTATAATGAAAGATATTCTTAATGTTTCAGCATTTTTGATCATTTTAGTCTTGCAACATTGTGGGAACATATTGGTATTTCCCCCTTTCTGATCCAACATGACTATTTTGGTGCACAAAGATTCAGAAGACATAAATTAGACCATTTTGTGAAATAAAATTTACCCTGAATCCTGAGGGAAGAATTACAGCAGAAACTCTGAGCCAGACCTGGACTCAAACAATCAAGGTAAAAAAAATAGAAAGGAACATTGAGTAAGTGTTCTGGATGGGTTCTTTTTGTTGTAACATTTCCTATAATAATTTATGACTCCCTGTAACTTCAGAGACTGGAGAGACTCTTCTGACAAAACGATTTATCAACAAACCCATCCAGGAGGTTACAGACTTGGTTGATGCTTTAAGATTTGCTAAAAAAAAAACCTCTCCAGAAGAGTCTTGTGAAATCCTTTCAGTTATTATTAAAGGTCACATGTGTTTGAAGGCAGACAAGTGAAGCAATCCATTTTTTTTAATAATTGCTGACTACTTTAATGATTTATCTTTTATATGACAAGCTTTAAGTTGACACGGTTGGAGGTCTCGCGGTCACCATCATAATCTTTAGCTCCCCCCAAGACTTTGTGTCACATACGGTAAGAGTGGGAACCCAGACTAGGCCACTTCAAAATGTTTACATTCTCCCATCTTAGTTAAACAGAGTTTTGGCAGAAAGAAGTGAAATATATATATATATTTAACTTGACTTGCTAAATCTAATCTATCTTTGTTTTAAATATTGGATTTCCCATTTGAAATAAAATTTTTGTTATCAGCTGTCCTCCATTTGTATGTATTTACAATATTTATAGGCTGGTTTTGGTTATACTCAGCCCAATGATTATCATAAGATGAACCTATGTCTGTTTTCTTAAATCTTCTTCCTAAAACAAATTGAATTACCGGTACCCATTTTGTCTTCTGTGAGAATATTCAGTTAAATGAGATTTTGAGTATGGGGTATGATAATTTATTGTCACAAGGTCCCCATGGTAGGATATGCTGTCTGCAGAGGTGGGTAGTGAGTAACTACATTTACTCAGATACAGTAACTTGTATCATTTCTTGCCAAAAACATATGCTGCTTACTACTTGAGTATTATCTTTTAAAAAACTATATCTTCTCTCACTTGGGTGAAATGTTTGGCTTCTGCATCCAAGGTGACTAATTTGGCTGCATTACAAGTGCTCAGACAAATACACACAGTTAATGTTTATGGTAAAATTATTTATAATGCTTTACTGTACCCAAGCTTACTTTAACCCACCCTGACATATACAGTAAGGAATTAATATTGTCATAAGTGTTTCATAAGATTTATGAAATAAATTCATTAGGAAAAGTATTTCCTCGTTGGAAATTGTTATTTGTCAATCACATTTTTTCATTGTTTTAATTATTTTATCATAGTTATTAAAATACTAGAATTTACACATAACTTAACTTTTGCTCAGTGCTTTAGTACCCTTTTTACCAAATACTTTTTTACTGACCTCCTGTTTGACTCGTAACAGTTTTTATATTTTATTACTATAGTCAGTGTTTGGCTCTCTCTTTCTTCATCAAATTCAGCATTAAATACTTGCCGGTCTTATGTCTCTATTTTTTTTAGTTACTAGATGTATCCACTATTTTGGGATTTTCATTTTTACCTAACATCCAACTGTAACCATTGGATTAAAAAGCAAAATCTGAAAATCCTGATTTAAATCCTCTAGATATTTTATCTTTGCTCATTTCCATCAATGAGAAAAAAAAATAGGAATAAAACAGCCTTATATATTCATCATACCGGTAATCTCCGAATGGAGAGCATCTCTTAGGTGCTGCAATGGAATCAGGGGTTAAGAGGATTATGGGGACATCATCTGAAATTAAAGGCAAAGATACTTTCAGTTGCCTCACCAATGGATATTTAAATGGAATTCCTTTTGGGGAAAAAAAAACAATGGATTTGGCCAGCCGTAACATTATGATAGTCCAGCTCTCTAAGGAGTCATGTAAACACGATTCTTCCAGTTTAAATCATGACTCACACACCTCTAGTATTTTTTTTTTTTTTTAGATATACTACAGCAGAGAAGAAACGTAACCAGTCCAGTGCATTGTTGCTCTGAATGTGTCATTTATGGCTACCTTGTCACTCAATGCAGATGTAAGATCTTTAGAGTCAGCTTTCAAAGCAACGGGTGTGTAATGTGTATTTTCTTTGGGCTGGTATGTAGTATCATAACAACAACATCCTGAACTGTGGTGTAAATACATATGAATCATTTAATGCTCGTCTCTGCTTGAAGACATATATTAATGGCCCAGGCAGACAGATAAAACTTCAGCTTAATAAATGGTGATATCTGTCCTGCATTCTCTACCTCCAATCAGATTTTCGTTAGTTTTGTGCAAATCAAGACACATAGGGTCTGTGTTACTAGATCAGTATCTGAGAAATGCAAGATGATTAAAAAAATTACTCAGGGCAGGGTTTTGGAGGAGGTGGAGACAAAAAGATAAGTTAAAACATCTAAAAAGACTCAAGACATCTAAAGTGGCTTTAGTAATATGTGAGTAAGAGTTCCTCAAAATATTGGAAATTCTTGAGTTTTCATTCCAGTAATAAAGAGCTGGTGTTGTGGGAAATTCAATGGAGGAAGGTTAGGAATAACCCCAGTACAGTATTAAAGGATGGGAGGGGAACAGAATACAGAAACTGTTGAGAAGAGTATGGGGAAATGGTCAATAGCCTGTCTCTTATTCCAGAGTTTCAGGAGGCTGTGCTTCCAAAAAAGGTTAAAATAGGATGCCTGA